TTTGATTTGATATCCTCATATTATGAAGATTCGTGGGTTTACTATGTTGTTTGGTGGTTATTTATTTAAGAAGAGGGTTGGTTGCGATATTGAGGAAACTGACCATGATTTCTTTTAGTAATCATTTACTGCTTCGCATATTTGCTCTTGCATTGTTCTATGTTATTCCTATCATTGTTTCTATTGCAAATCTAACTGAACATGTTATATTAGAGTATCTTTTGACTTATAAAACCTCGCCACTACTTCAGCGAGGCCAGTCAAGATACTTACTGAGTACATGTGGTCGGTTGTACTCATACTATACTTCTGCATCTTGCGTTCACATCTTGGAGCTGCGTAGCCGTGGAAGACAGAACCTTGCATTGAAGGCGTACTTGCATTCCAAATTAGAGATACCTCTTGTTCATGGTAGTTTAGGATTCATCTATGCTTATGTAAACTTCAAACATATATTATATTTATTCTTCATATCGGCTTTGTAAATCTAAATCGTAGGAGCTCATGCCTTGTACTACCAGTCCTTGGGGTAGTTGTATTGAATTCCATTATAGATTCTATTGTATATATTATTGATTTATCAATTTAGCTGTAACTTATATTACTTGGCTTACCTAACGGGTTGGATTAGGTGCCATCACGACTTAGTGGGATTTTGAGTCGCAACAATCAAAACCAACCATACACGCAAATTTTAATGCCTAATATGAAAGTGCTCAAACTCTCAGACCCCTGAACGAAGTGCTAAAGCTCAAAATGACGGGTTGAGTCATTACAAAAGCTCTTGGATGCAGATGGGTTTATACTGTAAAATACAGCTCAGATAGGATTATTGGGCGACATAAAGCTCGTCTAGTTATATTTGGAAATCATCAAATAGAAGGGATTGACTTTACTGAAATATTTGCTACGGTGACTTAGATGGTAACTATGAGCACGTTCTTGCTAGTGGCTGATGCGAAAAATTAGGAATTGCATCAAATGAACATGCACAATGCTTTCCTGCACGAGGATCTTCAATAGGAGGTCTATATGAAGCTACCACCTAGGTTTCGGGTTGCGAGTCGGGAGAAATTGAGCAGAATTTAAAAATATCTATATAGGTTGAAGCAAGCATTGTGATATTGGTTTGCTAAGTTGTTGAATGCCTTGAAAAATTACGGATTCAAGCATTTATACTATGATTATTCTCTATTTACTCTACAAAGAGGTGAATTTCAAATAAATGTTCTTGTTTATGTTGATAACTTGATTATTTCGGACAATGAATCTGCAGCTATCTGCAAGTTCAAAACATATATCGTTGAAATGTTTTCACATGAAGGATTTGGATCATTTAAAATATTTTTGGGTGTTGAGATATCAAGAAACTCTGATGATATATTCTTGAGCCAATGTAAACCCACCTTACATATTATCTCGGAGGTAGGATTATTGGATGCTAAGCTTGCGGGAGTTCCTTTGGAGCAGAATCATCGGCTAGCGCGGGCAAATGATCGAGACCTAGAAGACTTTGAATGTTAACGTCGTTGGATGAGACAACTCGTCTATTTTTGTTTCACAAGGCTAGAATTGTCTTATTGCTTGCATGTTTCTCTTAGTTCATGCAACATCCGAAAAAGGAACTTGGGAAGAAGCTTTGTGAGCTGTCCGTTACTTGAATGGGAATCCAGGACAAGATATTTTATGCGTAAAAAATATGATCTACGTCTCTATGGATGATGTGACTCTGATTGGGATGGATGCTCTTTGACTCGACGAGCTCTCACATGTTGGTTTGTTTCTTTAGGTAACTCACCCATATCTTAGAAGACCAAGAAGCAACATATTGTATCTCGATCCTCTACATTAGCCAAATACCATCCATGGCAATGACAATTTGTGAGCTGAAATGGTTGAAGAACATATTGTCTCGCTTGGGAGTGACATTAAACTCACAAATTCATCTTTACTGTGACAATCAAGCAGCGTTGCACATAGCCAAAAATTCGGTGTTCCCTTGAAAGAACCAAGCATATTGAAGTAGATTGTCATTTTGTTAGAGACGAGATAGTCAGTGGGAATATTTGTACTAGATTTGTTACTTCGTATGAATAAGCGGCGAATATCTTCACAAAGGCATTGGGAAAATCACAATATAATTATCTCTTGCGCAAGTTGGACATTCGTTATCCGCATATATGGTAAATATAGAATTTGTATTATATTAGCTTCTCTTGTGTTAATCTTGCTTACCATATTTTTAGGACTCTCTCTTTGACATCAATGGAAAACAGAAGCTTTTCCCTTCTTCCTTGACCGACACCTAGTCTATATTTTGGCATGTTCTATATTAGTGGCATAGTTCGACATTTAGTCCATATGCTTTTTCTGTAATTAAAGTGAGACATTTAATTCTCCAATGGGTGAATTTTGGAAATTTTCAGAAAAAGCTTTTCCAAATGAAAGAGTAGAAAGTACGTTAGACTAAAGTTTTTTTTTTTTTGTTTTTGTTTTTTTGCAAAGACTAAAGTTTGTACGGTGGGAAACTTTTGAGAATGCTTTGGGCTAAAGTACTAGCAATATTTGTAAAACCTTACCTTTATATTGTTTTTGGTTCTGAAAAACATTTTGGTTTGGTGTTCAACATTATAATGTTTGATTGACGCAAAACACTGTTCTTTTTTCCAATTTAGGAAATCTTAGAAATACAGTAGAAGGCCCCCTCTTGAATACCGATTGTTCCTTAAAAATAAAGGATATCTTTAATGGTAAAAATTGAAACTTTAATAAAATCTCTCTTAACATCTCTAATGACATTAAGGAGAACATCTTCAAGATAAGAATTCGTCTAAAGGGACCAATGAGTGACATTCCAATATATGGTCTCTAACTACAAAGGGAATATTTACGACCAAAACTTGCTACAATTTTATAGAACCTCCAACGGATACCCAAATAGATTTCAAATGGATTTGGGATTTAGCGTGTCCTAATAAAATCAAATTTTGTTTATGGCAATGTCTCAATAATGGGATACCATGTAGGAAATACGTGGCAAGAATTGGTTTAAACATTGATCCAAATTGCCCTATATGCAAATGTAAAGAAGAGGAATCCATAACCCATATTTTCTTTAACTGCAAAGCCACTAAACCATTTTGGGACAGTCTTGGGTGGCAAAATTTCTATAAAGCTCAAGATGAACACTGGCTTATTCAATTAAAAGCTTTTGACTACCCAATAAAAAATAAATTTATAAATTGGACTTCTTTCTTTCCATTTGCCATCTAGTACATTTGGTTAAATAAAAATAACAACAATCAAAACAATACTGAAAATCCTATCAATGGTGACCATATTATTCAAAGGGCTACTGAATTCAAACTTCTCACTGAAAAAAGTATAAACACTTCTGAAAAAATTCCCATTAAAATTAGATGGCATAAACCATCAAAAGGATGGTTTAAACTAAATATAGATGATAGCTTCAATAGTAATAACAAAAAATGTGGCCTGGGAGGTGTATTCAGGAATGCCAATGGAAATTGGGTAGTTGGTTTTGCAAAATCATCTCGTGCTAGTGGATCATTACAAGCAGAAATCAAGGTACTCCTACAGGGACTCAAAACAGCACAAGCGTGAGGAATGTTCCCTCTTGAAATAGAGACAGACTCCACTGAGGTAATCCAGTCTATCCAACAAGGCAACATATTATATGATGACATTGTTAATGAATACGGGTTGTTAATGCACCAACAGAAGGAGATAACCCTCCAGCACGCATTCAGGCAGAGGAATAACATAGCTCATCAAATGGCAAAGAAGACTGCTGATCTAACAAAGGGGAAAAAACTTTTTGTTGAACCACCATCTTATGTAAAATGTCTTGTGGAAAGTGAACTAGTAGAACACTATATTTTTGTAAAGTTTCTTTCTTATGATGCTTGCAATACCCTAGCAAGCATAGGCAATCAAGTGTCCTTAGTGACACCAAGTATGAAAGTCATGTTCAGAGCTACTTAGTTTTTAATATATATATATTTCCTGTTTGCTCAAAAAAAAAATACTGTTGTTTTTGTTCTTTTTTTTTTTAATAATTTTTATTGAAAATTATTAAACCAAAGATACACTAATTTCGCAATATTATGTTTCGAAGTTTTTCCGATAACTAGCTTTTTGAAACTAATCAAACCAAATACCAACGCCACTTCCAGGAGGAAAAAAAAACTTGCTCCCTCCATTCCATTCTATATGTGATAGTGTATTAATGAACAATATATTTAAGAAAAAAAGAACTTTTTTTTTAAAAAAACAACTTGGGATCTTAAACAAAAAGTAGACATATATTTTACTTTAACTTATTTCATTAAGTATAAAATAAAACATGTATAATTAAATTATGTAGTACTAACTATAAAATTTATTAACTTTCTTTTCGAAACAAACTAATAATAATATAAAAAGGAACAATATACATAAAATGTGACCGAGAAATAATTTCTTATTTTGTTCATGTCGATTTCTATAAGGGGTCGTTGGTATGATGGATAAACAAAAATAAACTAGGTTTAAAAATTTAGTATCGCTTTATCCCTTGTTTGGTTACTAATTCTGGAATAAGTTATTACAGAATTAAAAATAATATCGGGATAACTTATATTTGTCAGAGGGTGGAATAGTAATTTCAGGATAAAGTAATAAAATTGATAATTTTCGAATTAATACAATATACCAAACAATCAATACGAAAAATAATCCTAGAATAATTAATTACAGCATAACTAATCCCAACATAACTAATACAAGCATAAATTGTATTCAAACCAAACGAGCCCTAAGTGCTTGTGCCCCAAAATTCAAAGACGGCAACTTATTCAATGATTCACCATCAAAGCCAATTAGATAATGACAACTAGGTTGCTGTTTGAAATCAATGGAATATAATAGGAACATAGAAAATGAAATTGGATCCCGCTTTCAAGAGGCAGGTGAATCCAACTATTCCATATGCTAACATATCTGAATTCCACCATTGATATAGAGAGTTGGGCAATGGCATTATTGATTCAAGTGCTTATCAGTTTCTTAGTTGTTCAACAATGTTTCCAGAAAAGTGACGCTCAACTAATGCTTCAAATTCCTGCACTAAGCAAGTGTGGATTCGATAAGATATATCAGCTGGGTGACTCACTTTCAGATACAGGGAATTTCATCAGACTAAGCATTTGGGGATCTGTTTCTCCATTTGCAAAGCTTCCTTATGGTGTAAATTTCTTCAAGAAAGGAACTGGCCGCGCTTCTGATGGAATGATTATCATTGATTTCATAGGTACGCTACTGCCTACTACTGCTTATTTCTAAATAGACTATTGATTTCTATCAAAAGAAGGTTTTCTTGTTTAGCTACTTATGCTTCAGTTTTCTGTTTTTCTCTGGGTAGGGGGATCGGTTGAAACTGGCTAAGGGTGGCTAGGAATAGACCACTAAAAGAATTATTCTTTGCATTTTGCATCTTTAGTATATGCAACTTATCTTTTTGTGAAAAAAAAAAACAAATGGAGGAAGGTACAATAGGAGCATATAATATAAAGAAACTGTAGTTGTTGTTGCCAGAGGCAGCAAAAACAACTTATTTTTTAGTAATCTGCTCAATTCAAATGGGTTATATTATGACCCGTTTCTCTAATTCACGAACTGACTTCAAATGATCCATCAAATTATTTGTTTATGCAGCTTAAACCAAATAATCTAAAGGGTCAAGATGTAGCCCAAACCCAAATAAGCAAAATCTAGTTTGGGTATTGAGAATTATGTAAATAAAAAGAATTTAAACTAACACACTAACTTTTCACGTTTTCTTTCAAAAAGCAAAATAGTAAAGGAGAGAATGTTGTGTCATGTTGGATGGTGTATTATGACCAGTTATTTGATTCAAGCAAATTTAGATCGGGTTTATTGACTCCTTTACCAATCTAATCTGTTTTGACCAATCGAAGGTTGATCAACCCGCTCATTTGACATCTCTAGTTATTGCTATCAAACGCAGTAATAATATCTGTTTCCCCCTCTATTTATTTTTCTCTCCACAACATCAGACAACCTTTTTATCCAAAACACATGTCTTCAACAGCTAAGTCTGTGGTTTCCACGTTTCTCAATCATTCTCTTTCATTTCACTGACATCAATGTCAAATCAAATAGACAATGACTTTTCCGAATCCTAAAGAAAATTCACAGCTCAACAGAGTATCATTATGATTTATTACCCGTTTTGTTGAAGGTTTTCGTGTCTTCAACCTTAGATCCAACCCCTTAGTAATGGAATCTTGAGTATAGTCTTCCATCAAGAAGTTCTCTAAGGACATTTTCTTTAGTTAAAAAGTTGAAGATGCTACACAGGCATTGAAGTAATTCAAGCGGAAAAAAATTTAGTCTATTGAGGCTCTCTTTTTTTTTTTTTTTTTTTTTTTTTTTTTTTTTTTTTTTTTGTGAAGAAAGTTAGTCTATGAGACTTGTTTTGCAGAAGCAGATGCTTTGCAATTACAATTTGAATTACCACTCGTTGAAGATCCTCACAAGCGAATGAACTCCTTGATTTCACACCCTATATATCCTCTAGATACAAAGCATTATATCTCAAACCACAAAAGTACTGTTATAAAGACAAATTTTTAGGAAACTCTATAAATTTTCTTCTCATTTATCTTTATACACTCACGCTTTACCTATTTATAACCAATTGATGGATACAGAAGGCAAAAATAAAGTGGAAATGGTAATCATTAATAACTTCTTGAAGGATTTATACATTTACTAGTACGTTGCACTTCTCTTTCTTGTTTCCAGTAATGAAAAAATTTATATTCTTTTGATTTACAGCACTCGAATCTGGTCTTCCTCTGCTAAATCCTTACATGGATCAAAATGCAAATTTTGCGCATGGTGCAAATTTTGCAGTAATAGGAGCTACTGCTTTAGAAGCCGGAGTCCTAGCAGAGAAGAAAATTTTCAATCCACTCGGCAATGGTTCATTAGATATGCAACTTGGTTGGATGTCTTCACATTTCCAGTACACTTGCCATAATGGTAATTAATTTTCTTCTTCACATTTCGGAAAACTATTGCAAAAGACTGACATTCTTTGACCACAGCTAATATGCTAAAAGAAAGTCACATTGACTAGCATTTTTTATCTTTCTTCTTATCCTCTTCTGTAATTGTTGTTGCTAGACTGCTCAGAGTATCTTAAGAGTTCTCTCTTCCTGGTCGGAGAAATAGGAGGAAATGAGTTCTTTTACGGCTTAACCCAAGGTAAAACAATGGAAGAGTTGAGAAATATGGTGCCAGAAGTTGTTCAAAATATTGTAGAAGCTGTTAATGTGAGTTATCCCATGTCTCTGTTTTTAGTTTTAAAGAGAATTTATAATAAAAAAGAAGGAGAGAGAGAGAGAGAGATGAGAAGGAGGATTACCACCCTTATATCTACTTCCACCAAGTTTGGACAGAAAAATAAAACGCTCTCCTTTTATTTTTCTTAGGTTTGATTTTTCTAACTTAAGTGTTTGAATTTAGTTTTAGAAAAACTAATTTTGACTTTGTTGTCAGAGGATTGTGAAAGAATTATTCTCCTCAGATAAAATATCCTTTTGTAAGTTGTCTCCAATAAATGTCTTTTTGAGTGACATGATTTTATTTTGTGTTTTGTACAGAAGATGTTTAAATAACTCATCATACAGATGACTTCATGAATTTGATGGCACTGCATGTTTTCAAACATAAGCAGTTGAAGCCGATAGTTCAATCATAGGGTGGTAATGCATGAAATGCACAGAGGAACTTTGTTATACGTTTTTGATTTCTAGTCTTTTTCTTTCTTGATTTTGTTTGCTGATAAATTGATTGCATCTTTCAGACAGTTACTGGTTTTGGCGCTATTCGAATTTTTATTCCTGGCAATTTCCCCATTGGTTGTCTCCCGATGACCTTAACAACATTCTTGACCAACAACTCTATGGCATATGATGAAAACTATTGCTTGAAAGATTTAAATAGTTTGGCGATATTCTACAATGAGAATCAGCAACAAGCCATCGAAGACTTGAAGAAAAAGAATCCGAATGTAACACTCATCTATGGTGATTACTACAATGCCTATCAGTGGCTTCTGCAAAATACTGTGAATCATGGTTAGTCCTTCAAACATTGCTATTGTCATTTGAACGTATTGGACTCCAAAGTGAGTCTTTTATGCTAATTTGCTTGTAAAAAAGATATCATTTCTCACTCAATCTTAGGAAAAAAAAATGGAAATAAGAATAAAACCATATTCATGTATGTTGCTTAACAAAGTTTCTTAATCGAAAAATACAGGATTTGACCAAAACTCTCTACGAAAAGCTTGCTGCGGAGAAGGAGGTTATTATAATTATGATGCAAAGAGACACTGTGGATTTCCAGGAGTCCCAGTTTGTGCAGACCCTAGTACTTATATCAGTTGGGATGGAGTCCATTTGACAGAAAAAGCCTACAGTTTGATTGCAAGGTGGCTAATTGATGACATTTTACCCCAATTGGAATGCTAAGTTTATGTGCTTGCTTTTTCTTTGCAAAGCACAATATAGAATACCACTAGTTGACTCTTTTTCTTTTCCTTTTTCTCAATTCTGTGTTTCCTTCTCATGTATTTGATCTGAAAAAGCTTGTAAGAAGAGAGCTCATAAATCTTAGTATGAACTTTTGACAATTACATTTTAGGGATAATTACACTGCCGAGGCACTTTTGATTCCTCAATTATTATAAAATTTTGATTGTTATATTTTCACTCTCGAACCTTGAATTGGTTATTGTCCCATTACATAATAAATACCTTATATTCAGATTGTTTTTAGAACTATATAAACCTCAAATATGGAGTTACAATATAAATTTAATATAGCACATACATAATTACAAGATTTGACAGCTAATACTCCCTTAATTATGAAGTGTAAGCGGAAGGATAAATAGTGCCAATTTTATTTAATAATCTCACCCTCCCAAAAGAATGATAAAAGTTCGGATTTCGAGAGCCAAACGAGTTGTTCTCTGGCTGTAATTTTTTCATATATCTTTTATATATTTTGAATTATTAATTATTGTGACTTGTAGTACTTTTTATGGAGTTTCCAAAAAAGTAAATTTTGTTTCAAAAATTTGAAGTTTCTATATCCAAATTTGCGATCAAAATTAAGAATTTTCACTCTCGAAATCTGAATTCTATTACTTTTATTGTATCATTTTATCCTTAATGAAAGATTTATATGAATGCTAAAGGAAACGTTAAGACCACCAAGAAACTTAAAGGCACCTTTATACCCGTCTTAATATAGGTGCATTGCGCGTGTACTCTATCTCAATGAGTATAATTTTTTTCCAAAATATTACACAAATATTAAATTAAAAATTGTAATTGAGTTATATAGTAAAAGTGTATATTTCTAAAGATAATGAGTAGTTCCAACTAAATAATTAATTATTGCTACCCCAAAATTTCGAGTTCCCAAGTGTTTTAACGATATTGTACTTTTGCATCATCTTTGAAGTGTACCCACATTTTATTGTTATCTACATATGAAATAACTTATTAATTATTGTTGTTCATTAATAAAGATTGCAATATGATTGTCAAACTTTCTTTAACGTTTTGTAATATGTGCCATTTACCTATATCACACTTCACGACGCACAATTAAGGATCACATAGCTTCCCAGGCTTTGATTGAGAATCCTGCTCGAATGAGCCTCAAAGTATCACAGTTCGAATGAGCCTCAAAGTATCACAGTTCTATGATAATGTGATTGACCCGAAAGTTCATCACTTGTTTTAGAAATAAATCTCGTGTTTCGAGGCTTGAAACCTTCTTTTTACCTCACCTCGATTTGGTACGTGGTCCAGACCTATATCCGGAAAGTCTTTTATGTAAAAATATGAGAAATAGAGATTTCTAGAGTTAAAATATGATTTTTGGTTGACTTTGGTCAACATTTTGAGCAAACGGACCCGGATCCGTGTTCCGACGATCCCGGGAGGTTTGCAGTAAAATATGGGATTTGAGCGTATGCCCGGAAATGAATTCCGAGGTCCCAAGCCTTAGAAATCAATTTTTGAAAGAAATTGTTTTGCTGAATTATCTATGAAATAAAGAGAAGAATTAATGTTTGAAACCATTGGTATCGGGCCTGTATTTTGGTTCCGGAGTCCGGTACAAACTTGTTATAGTATTTAAAGGATAACTGTGAAATTTGGTGAAAAATGGATTTTATTTGACGTGATTGGGGCCTCCGGTCGAAGAGTTATGAACTTTAAAGTGTTCTTGATGAAAATGATGAGTTTTGAGGTTTAATTCGTAGTTTTACATGTTATTTTCATGATTTGGTTGCACGAGCAAGTCTGTATGTTGTTTTTAGGTTGGTATGCATGTTTGGTTTGGAGCCCCGAGGGCTCGGGTGAGTTTTGGATAGGCCACGGAGTGAAATTTGGACTTAGGAAGTTGCAGGTTTTTAACTGGGTATGTTGCAGGCCTGCAGGTTCCGCATTTGCGAAGCCTGGCTCGCAAATACGAGAATTATGTCGCAAATGCGAAAAGCCCAGGGCCAACATTACCTCGCAAATGCGAGGTACACTTCACAAATGCGATGTCTCCAGTAGGTGCCAGTTGTCGCAAATGCGACACCCCCTTCGCAAATGCGAGTTCGCAATTGCGAACATATGATCGCAAATGCGAAGGTAGCAGGTTCCTTAAGGGTTCGCAATTGCGAACCCTGGTCGCAATTGCGACATCTGCGACCTGCAAATTCATAACTTAGCCGAAAATCTTTCATTTTTCAAACCCTTTCAAAACTAAAACACTATTGGCCGATTTTTCAAAGACAAGTACTCTTCCAAATCGATTGTAAGTCATTTCTAACTTGTTTTCATCAATCTTTAACATCTTTTCTCATGATTTCAACTCAAAATCAAAGGTTTTCATGGAAAAAAATTGGGTGTTTTGGGTAGAACCTAGGTTTTTCAAATTTTGGAGATTTGGACCTCAATTGGAGGTCCCATTTCAAAATTAATTGTATATTTGGTTTCGTGAGGGAATGGGTAATCAGGTTTTGGTTCGAACCTCGGTTTTTGACCATGTGGGCCCGGGGGCGATTTTTGACTTTTTGGAAAAAACTTTAGAAAACCTATTTTCATGCATTGGAATTGATTCATTTAGCATTTATTGATATAGTTAAGTAACTTGTGGCTAGAAACGAGCGGATTGGTGGTGGAATCAAGGGGTAAAGCGATAGTTGAGACTTGAATTGTGTTTGTGGCATCGAGGTAAGTGTTTGGTCTAACCTTAACTTGAGGGATTAGGAGTCGTGTCCTATTTGCTATGTGTTATTTGTTGAGTACGACGTATAGGCATGGTGATGAGTATCTATACGTTGTTGTCAAGCATGCCCGTGGGCCTTATATTATGATTATTTTGACTCCGTTTGTATTGTTCATGCCCTTTTGTGATGATATCTATTGTTGAGTAAAGTTTGTAGAAGTAATAGTTATATTTGAACATTGAGGAGCGTTGGCTCAAGTTGTATAATGAATTATGGAGGTATAATTGGCAATTGAACCTTATAGAGCATTGGCTCAAGTTGTGAAGTAAAAGTAAAAAAAGAGAGAAGAGAATTGTTATATTGTCTCATTTGCCGGGATGTTGTTGCTTTTAATGTTATCTCCCTTGCCGGGATGTTGATGCTTTTGACATTGTTCCTTTGCCGGGATTTGATTGTTGAATTATTGTTTCCTTGCTGAGATTTTATCGAAATTTTATTTATTTCCTTGCCTTATTGCTTGTGATTGTTGTTTGGGTGAGGAAGAGTGTTAAAGCACGAAGGGTGATGCTGTGTATCATTTTGGTGAGAGAGTGTTAAAGCATGAAGGGTGATGCCGTGTATTATTTTGTGAGGAAGAGTGTTAAAGCACGAAGGGTGATGCTGTGCCGCACGATGTACAATTCCGTGCCGATTATATTGATTTTATGGTGAGGACGAGAGTAAAAGCACGAAGGGTGATGTTGTGCAGTTTATATTGATTCTTATGGTGAGGACGAGAGTAAAAGCACGAAGGGTGATGTTGTGCAGTTTATATTGATTCTTATGGTGAGGACGAGAGTAAAAGCACGAAGGGTAATGCCGTGCACTGGCTTGGTTTCTGATTCTTGTTGATAATTGAGATGTGGTGTTCTTCATATTTACTTGCTGTCTTTTCATTTTTAAATGATGTTTCCCCGCAGCATGTTTCCCCCTCCCATGTCTAATTGTACATTCCTGCTTTTACTTTCCGCCGTATATGATTTAACTACAGAGGTTTAATTGGTAGTCTGGTCCTAGCCTCGTCACTACTTTGCCGAGGTTAGGCTAGGCACTTACCAGCACATGAGGTTGGTTGTGCTGATACTACACTTTGCACTATTTGCAGATCCCGGAGCAACAACATTCGGAACTTAGCTTGGGTGGCTGCTTCAGTCCATACGGAGATCCAAGGTAGTCCTGCAGGCGTCCGTAGGCCCTAGCGTCTCCCTCTATCCTTTCGTATTGTTTCACTTTTGTATTCCAGAACAGTACTGTAGTTATTTTTCAGACCTTGTTTATAGTATCCCTAGATCGTCTGTGAAGTTGTGACACCAATTCTGGGTAGTCTTTGCTTAAGAAATTGTGTTGGACATATTTAAATGGTTTTATTATTTCTTCCGCTTGTTTAAATTCCGCTGTTTATAAATTGTTGTTTCATAATTGTTAAAGGATTAAAAATGGAAAAAGGGTAATCTGTTCAAACGGTTGGCTTGCCTAGCTTTCACTAGTAGGCGCCATCACGACTCCCGAGGGTAGGAAATCCGGGTCGTGACAAGTTGGTATTGGAGATCTAGGTTATATGGGTCTCACAATTCACAGATAAACTTAGTAGAGTCTGAGGGATCGGTACGAAAATGTCTGTATTCATCTCCCAGAGGCTACAGAGTTAGGAAAAACATCACATCTATTCTTTCGTGTCGTGCAGTTTGGTTTCTCAATGCTAATTGAATTTCTACTCTGTTCTTTCGCAGATAGCGAGAACGCGCGCTTCCTCATCCATTGATCAGCAGCCCGAGCCCCCAGCAGTAGCTCTTACGAGGGGCAGAGGGCGAGGCCGAGGCCGTGCTAGAGGCCGAGGTAGGGGCAAAGCTCAGCCTAGAGCAGCAACACCAGCGACAGAGCCTCAGGTTGAGTTTGATAATGAGGTTCCGGCCCAGGCACTTCCAGTGGGCCCAACTCAGGTCCCAGAGGGGTTTATTGCTACCCCAGTACTCCAGGATGCTCTGGTCCGTCTAGTGGGCCTTATGGAGAGTGTCACCCAGCCAGGCTTGCTTCCTGTAGCACCAGCCGTCTCTCAGGTTGGAGGAAGAGCCCAGACTCCTGCTACTCGCACTTCGGAGTAGATGACTCCCTAGTTTCAGACTCCAGCAGCTCAACCAGTTGGAGCAGTTTAGCCAGGTGTGGTAGCTCAAACCAGTGATGGAGCAACTATGTCTACCGATGCCTTGTGGAGATTGGACAGGTTCACCAAGCTCTTCACTACCACTTTCAGTGGTGCATCTTCTGAGGATCCCCAGGATTATTTAGACAGTCGTCACGAGGTTCTCAGGAACATGGGGATAATGGAGACCAATGGGGTCGACTTTGCTATTTTTCGCTTATC